TTGGTGGATTGGAACTCACAAAATCTTTATCCACCAATGACTTAATGTGCCAACTCATCGATGCTTAGGATAAGATGAGCACCAGTGCTCATTAGATTATTTCTGTTTTTTGAGAATGTATAGTTAAAATGTTTGGAATTTTTTTAAATTTTCATGTGAAATATTTTATTATGTGAATGTATGATTGAAAATAAGTATATAAAATAAAAACTTTTTAATAATAATTATCAATGTCATAATAGGGGCGGGGGGTTACGATCATCCTGCCTCCTATCGGACAAGCACATCGAATTTGGCCACTTGTATAATGATTCTACTGCAATACTTTTCCTGGTCCACAGATAATTAATAAAAGAGAAGATATTTTTCTCTTCCCTTAATCATCAACGTCATCAAAGCACGTCATGTCATGATGTCATTCAAGTTAATACCATAGGAAATCATTTTACTTATTGACCACATTCCCCTCATTAAAATCCATGGTTCAGTTGTTTCAAACCTTGACCAAAACATTTCATAAAAAAACCCAGAAAGTATTTCTTGCATTTTCGGAGTATTTTTCTTTTTTGGTAATGGAAACGGACAAGAGGAAATGGGTGGTGGAAGGCGGAGACGCCGACGGGAAGAAAGTCAAAGCTGTGAAAGATGAGAGCAGCGAGACGGTGGCGCCGGAGGATGATGAGGTAGAGGAGTTCTTTGCTATTCTTCGGCGAATACAGGTGGCTGTCAAGTATTTCAAGAACCGTAACGGCAAGATTGACCTTGAGTTGACACCGGCTGCATGGAGTCCAACTTTTAAACGAGAAGATTTCGAAGAACTTAAGAAAGAAAAACAAAGTGTGGTTGAAAATCAAAATCAAAATCAGAACGCAGGTTTAGATCTTAATTCTGATCCGGCTGCTGACCAAAATGTTTCAGATTCCTCTTAATTATGTTAATTAACTTTTTAGGTTGTTTAAGTTTAAAGTTTAAACACGTGATTATATGTAATTAAACTTATTAACTAAAGCCATGTTTGTTCCTAGATTGAACACCAAATCCGTGTTAATAGACATGAATTACTCAGTATATAGTGCTTCGTTGCTGAAAGTAAATTTCATAGTCATGGATTGGGACCGATGGATTTTCATTTTAATTGATAAGATTGTGATTTTCTCTCTTCTTTAATTTTGTATGCAAAATAGTTCAATTCCAAACATATGATTAGGATAAACAAATTATGTTCCTAATTAAGTATATCGTTATTGGGGAAGTTAAGTTGATGCTGCAGAAGCAGAAGCATACGAGGGTTGACGCTGGTTTATGGTGAATTATTTACACAGTGGAAAGGAATGGTTGCGAAGGCAACAAGCAAGAACCATGATTCATGTACAGAAGCATGGTTCTACATAACACCACCGGATAAACACGTTCCCCGGGGGGAGTTCATTTTTTATTCCGATGGGTTCCACACATGTGAGTGGATGTAAAACATCTGTAAAAAAAAAAAATTGTACACATGGTTTTTCCCAACAAGTAAATACTAAACACAGTAATTAAATCTTTTAAAAATTGCGGAATTAAGCAAATTTCAATAGCAAATTAGGTTCAGTACAATTTTTTTAAATTTCGTTTCTTTTTTGCTCTTTTTTAATCACGCTCTCGGTAGAATAATTTTACACGTGAATTCATAACTTTTCACTATTTTTTAACCGTACGTTCCAAATTGCTATCACTCTTCACATAATTTATTTTCACAAAGAATCTGCATCAAGCACGTTCTATCTAATAAACACATTCAAATTATCTTGACAATACTCATGCAAAACCTTGTCCTAGCCTTCACATTGCGGTACACCCTCAAGTCTGCCAATTAACATTTCTTACCAAGGCATTGAGCTCCTAGTCCTAGACATGGCTTTACACCATAAGGGATGCTTTAGGGTAACAGAGTGAGTGGTAGGTTCAATATTATCAAATGCAAGACTGGTTGTCAGATTGAATTTGTTAGTAGGTTTATGTATTTGATTTTCAGTTCTCTATAAGAACAAACTCAATGGCAAATTTGTACACACAGATACACTTCAAATTTTCATTGATAATTGCCAATCAAAAATTGTCAAATTAGTTTATCAAAAAGTGACATGTCATTGAGCCTATTCAAGTAGCATTATTCTTTGATTCTTATAATGATTGACCATAGGATGAGGATTAATGAGTGGATTTTTTAGTCAAAGAGATGGGATAATGAATAAAAGTTGGCGTCTAGTGTTGATAGTGCTTGCAAAGGTGGAAAATGGCTAGAAGCTTGCATCGCAAAGGTGGTTGGACGGTGGAGAACTGCCCTAACATGTGTATTGTTGTAGTTGACCAAGGTGTATTCGATATTATTGGACAGCGAAATATATACTTAACAAATAAGAACATGTCGGGATATAATTAAAATAGACTTTGCAGATATAAGCACTCTGGGATAGTGTAACCAAGAAAAATGTAGGGACGTGAGCGATTTGTTAGAATTTTATGAAACTTTAAATCCTAAGAACATGAAAACCTAATTATTTTATTGTCAATGTCCTCTATGTCAAATCACCAAAAAAATTATTAAGCCTCTAATTGATCCACATTCTACAAAAATTTAATTCTTTCAGAACTCATTTTCAAGCACACATTCTTTAATAAAATAATATTTTCTATTACATTCAAAAAAAATTCTTATTTTTTAACAACACATTCTCCACCAATCTACTATTTCAAAATACATTCTTCCAAAATAATATGGCTTAAACACACCATAAATGTGGATCATACCTTAATTTATTGGAAATAATTGTTTAATACTTGACCTAGATTCCGGATCTTGAATCTTGATTGTTGACTCCTTTGGTTCTTAAGTTCTTGTTCTTGATTTCGATTTCTTGCTCCATAATCTAAATTGTCTCAATTTCTTCTTCTTGTTTCTTGATTGTAGATTGTCTGTTCTTTATTGTGGATTTTTTATTTTTCTCTTCAATATCTCTTCTCTTGTCTTCTTGTCTTAATAGGATAAAACAAATAATGAGAATCACATATGAACTGAGGATCATAACTCTATTTATATTTCATATGTACTTGGCCATTTTCAAATATAGTTCTAATGGATCCGATTTCAACACATATAATTCGGCCCACACTTTATTGAGATGCACAAAGCACATGCTTTTAATTCTTTATTAATCAATGTAATTGGGCTTAATTTTAAGATGGTATTTAATACATATTTAATTACACGTGTAGGCTCACATGATAAATTAAAACCCAACGCGATTATCCTTTCGTCTTCGAGTTAATGTCTACTTTGACTAATTTGAAAAGAACAATATCATACAGGTTAATAAAGCAAAATAATCTAACTTCCGTATTTTTTTTTTTAACACAAAGTATTTACATATTCAACTGTTTCTCCAATCACAATCAAAATTCTTGCCTTCCCTTCGAAAAATAAAATTCTTGTATCTGTTAATTTGTTTAGGTTCTATTTTTTTTAGCTCGACCAAGTAATCAAAATTGTTGAAATAATTCTTAACTAGGGGCCACAATCTCGACTGTGCTAGAGAAGACATAGGATTCTTAAAAGTTGGCATCACGTTAAAGTAATTTGACGCGGTATCAGGTTTATGAAATTTAATTTATAAATTTAAATCTCTCTCTCTCTCTCTCTCTCTCTCTCTCTCTCTCTCTCTCTCTCTCTCACACCAGTAATGAAAAGTTTAAAAGTGATAAAGTAGAAGAAAAATTATTATAAATTAGAATTGTTTTATCGCTGCATTTATGCTGCTAATGTAAATTATTATGCTACTTGTACATAAAAATAATATATAAGGGATTACATAAAATAATATGAAGGGGAAATATTGAATGAAAAAATTGATTGTGTTTAAACTGATAAATAATAAAATGTTACGTGACATTATGTAATCCCTTACCTAAATTTTTATATGCATGTAACAAGACCCTAACGTAAATTTCCATAATTTGAATCGTAGTGGGTGAGATTGATGGATCAAACCAACGCTGCAGCAATAGTTAGCTCTTGTAGCTTTAGGCCCAGATTAGTCTTTGGAGTTCAATGGCCCACGACAAGACTTCACGTCCTCCAATCGCACTTAAGGCAAATTTACTATATTAACTAGGGGATAAATTTATGGAAAAAATCGACAAGTAAAAGGTTACATATTTGGAAAATGAAAAATCAATCACAAACTTCAAAAATTGCCAAAATCCAGAATTTTGTGGGATCTAGAAGATTTAAGAAAATCCTATTAAATAAGAACTAATTAAATTTCTCACTCCAATAAGGCAATAACCAATGGGCATTAAGGCCATTTGTGACTGATCTTGGAGTCAACCTCCAATTCTAAAATAATTAAAAGTTGGTTTAAAGGTTCTATAAATATTGTAAAAATGAAGATAAATATCAACCATAAGGTCCGAGACGGCACAGAAAATACTGGATTAGTACAATGATAAGTGTGTTTTTACACACTTATTAGGCACGTTTCGAAGTTAAATATAATTGAAATTGAGTATATTTCTATGCATAATTGTGTAATTTTCACTTTTGTAGGCAAAAACCCCGATAAGAAGGTGAACGAGGCAAAAGGAGAGAGAAAAAAAGACTAAAAGTGTACAAAAATATGAAGTTGGGGACCAAAGTACACAAGCCAAAAAGTTGGAGGACTTGGAGTGCAATTTATCAAGTTGGATATTTTCTTGTGATTTTAGCCACTTAACTAAG